CCCCAAAACCCCAAAACCCCAAAACCCCAAAACCCCAAAACCCCAAAACCCCATAAATTATGGTAAAAGTTGAATTACAATTGAATCCTAGCTTTAGGCTTTGTATCAATCACCATAAATGCTTTCTTCTTCCGCTTCTGTTCATTCTTCAATGCTTTCATGTAAAAAGATTTATCACCTGAGATAAGGTTGGAAGCTTTCTGAGCTTTCTCAAGTCTTTTCCTCATCTTCTCTCTTTTAGACTGACTAGGCTTCATTCCATGGTAAGCATATGAGAACTCTCTGTATGCTTCTTTTCTTGACATGGGGTTACCATACTTATCAGTTCTATGAATCATGATGTCATCTTCTTCCTCTCTTTCAGCATCAAACTCTCCCCCTGCTTTATTATCCTTCATCCTTCCCACAAGGTCTGCTTTCTGGTTGAACATGTTTCTCATTCTAAAAATTTTCATGACATTAGCGACACCTTTGCCAACAATAGGCTCTTCCAGTATCTCTGCTTTTTCTTCATCTTCTTTAGTGATTTCTTTGTTCTTAATTTCATCCCTTATTTTCTCTTCCTCTAGCTCTTTTCTTTCGATATATTCCCTAGATTGCACAACAGATTGGAGTCCTTGTACCTGTGACTGCAGCCTCTGACTTGGAAGAGCTACATTGACAACACTAGTCATCCCACTTTTAGTGTTGGCAAAGCTCTCATTAATTGAAGAGGTCAAGATTTGTGCTAGATCCTGCCTATCCTTCTCTGTCTGGATGCTACTCTTGGTTAGATCCGTGAGATCTTTGATCTCTTTAGCATTCTTCTTATCTTTTCTACTATCAGGAATGACAAATACATCTTCATCTTTCTTTTTGACTTCTTCTTCCTCCTCGTACTCATTCAGGATTGAGAGAAGCTTTTCTTCAGCTTTCTTAGACTTCTGAGTGACATCTTTTTCTTTCTTTTCGATAAGTCTTCTCTTATTAGCATTACTCTTTTCCAACAGGAGGTAATCATCATCTTCTTCAAAGTCTTCATTGAGTAGCTTGCTTGTTTTAAGATTTGCCTTCAAGACAGCTTTTTGGTAATTCTCCCTCTTCTGGTTTTCTTCAGCCTGGTGCTCGATCTCTTTGGCTTTCAAGTTCTGAATTCGCTCCTCTCTGGTTTTAAGATGATCCTCTCCCTCGACTTCTTCAGCAAGGAGTTCTTCCATGTTTTCAAGTAGCTTCTTTTTCTTTTTCAGATTTCTTTTCTTTGCTTTCTTGAACTTTTTGTTTCTTCCAAGCTGAATTGGTTCCTCTTCTATCAAAAAATCAGAGTTGAAGACTTTCTTGGTGACCATGGAGGTCTTTTCAGCTCCTTGAATGTTCGCAGCATCTGTAGTAAGTCTGCCCTTTTTGTTGATTTTATTATTTTTTAGATTAAGCAGCATTCCTTCCCTTTCCTCTTCTTCAAGATCATATTTGTCAAGGATTCCTCGCTTTTTGAGCTCACCATGCTGGTCAAAATCATTCCCATTATAAAGGCCGTGCTTTCCGCCTTTAACCTTAGCTTTGTTTTTGAGGTAGATCTTGTGACGATGGTTATCATCAATATTGGCATTGACGAGCTCTTCTTCATCCTCGTTTATATCTCCATCCTTAAGAATATCTGTATCTTTCATAGTAAGGACATAGTTTTCTCCTTCTAAGAAATCATCCTGGTTATGGTTGATCTTTATCTGAGCTTCCTCAGGGGGTTCGGCCATTACCTTTTCCAATTAATTATTATAAATATGTCTAATTTTAAAGGGGTTTTGGGGTTTTGGGGTTTTGGGGTTTTGGGGTTTTGGGG